TGAACTGGCTTTTCTCTTGACTTTTTTATGTTGACACGGCAGCCAGCCAAGCTCGATAGAGTGAGATATATATTTTCATGTTATTGTTCCAAAAATCAGCTAAGGCCACTTTCCATTACTGCTCTCCATTAAGTCTGAAAAGAAAGGCCTCTCAAATCAAAAATGGCACTTAAGCAAATGCAGCATTCAGAGTGTTAAAAAGTGCCTTTGATGAGGGAGATGAGAAACTTTGTGATATACTCAGGTCGAAGGACAAGATGATAATTTAAGGAGGGCAAGGAAATCTGTCTTCATCAAAAGAAAGCCTTCGTTAATAGGAAGAGAAGGCCTTCGAGCCTTGTCAAACATCTTCATTAGAAGCCCCACTTTAGTCTTAATGCATCTTCAGTCATTATCCGTGCACAATATGTCAAAATCCTCTTCAAGAGGAAAAATACATACACCTTTTCAAATAATTGCTCCATGAAGGACAAACAAGCAGCATGTGGAGGGGTGTCATTTAGGTGCAATCTCCAGCAAGGCCTCAGAGGCCTTCACTCTCTTGCGCCATTGTTGTAGAAGGCCACGCGGTGCCAAAATGCCCAAGTCATTTGGCAAAAAACAGCACTAGGGCAAATGTGGGTATATACTGTGTTTAATCAGAGCAGCTGCCATAATAAACACTTAAAGGTTCACCATTCCTGGTTTAAATAATAGCACAATTTAATTCAAACTTACGCTGTTAACTGTCAGCACACAAAGCTCTGACACCCTTCAGGAACACCACCCTCCTGGTTGTCAATCAGCTGTTGTCGGTCTCAGTTTTGTTTTAATTAATATGCATAGTTAATTAGTTTCTTTCTTCTGTCAGGCACTGGTAAAATGACAGCTTGCTGAGCTAACCAACATCACTATGCTTGGATGGCTGCCATATTGCCTTCTTTATTATAGTTACTCTCTCTTGATGTCAAGTTCAAAACCAGTTCTAAAGAGATACAGAGTTAACCTCTCCTACCGGGCAATAAAGCTGTTTAAACAATCCACTGGAAACATCTTGGCCATGCTACACTATTGATATGTTTGGATGTGCAAGCTATTAAACCCCCCAGTAGAGCTAAGAGAGAAATGTTGCATAATGCGAAACATAATGAAATTAAACATATTTACAGCCCCGTTAAGAATCGGTAGCAGTCTTGAACATGAGCACAGTAAATATAACCCGGCGGTGACCCATTTAAAATCCAGAACTACATTCAATGAAGACTGTAGCAAGTCTATATAAAATTATATTCATTTTGCATCTAGTGAAACTTAACTTGACTTTTTAGGAAGGAAAAAAAATGGTTGGATATGGGAGGGGAAGGATAGATACAAATGTTATCGTGTTTCTATTTTGACCCGTTTAGGCTTTATATAAATCTGTATTAGATTAATTGTTTAGATATCTTAATATTTCAGATAAATATGATATTTAAACAGCTAATCACGTTGTTTCTAAAAACAAAATATTTCCAAACACCCTTCTCTTGTAGAGAAGAAAGACAAGAGCACAACTACTTATCATTATTAAATTACTTATTTAGGATGGGCAGCCTTAAAAGTTTACCAAGCAGTTGGAAAAAAAAAACTGTAGGAGTTATTTTTCAAAACATAATTTGTTTGATATGTTTTTTAAATGTTTTTAGCAAAAGCCTTGGAGAATGAAAAGTGATCTCAACACAGTTGGGAGGTTAAATCCTAGATTACATTGAATTTCCCTGACAGATGAAGGGGGAAACTTGCAAGATCTTCACATAGCTGATTGTTAATTATCTGGTTTTTGAACTGTGGTTGATGTTTCAGTGTATCTCTGTTAGAATGTCGTTTTTTTTAGCTTTAAGTTATTTTGTTTTGAGAAATAATTTGTTTTTTTACAGGAACACATATAATTTTGTTAATGTTGTACAATTGCTGTATTTGATGTAATGGAACTTCTGGCAGAATTTCCATTATGGTTTTGGTCTGTCTCTAAAGGCTCTGCCTGTCCAAACATGCAGAAATGAGTCCAACTCTGTCCTGGAATCTATTTCTCACTTAGGATTTAAAACATAGCACTTAATCTTTAGTCTACATACATCCAGATAATAATAATTTAAGATGCAGGGTGTATATGCAGACATGAAGTTAATACCCACACGGTGTCTGCCAAAACAGGAAAAGCAAGGGTAAAATAGGACACGTTTTTTTGGCAGCCCTTCATCTAAAGCATAAAGCAGTGGCCACAAGGGGAGAAGTAAACAGATTAGGAAAGCTATTGACATTTCCCTGTAGCAATGAAGGGGTGTCGAATGGCAGCATGGATGATAAGGTGTACAGGCATTCACCCCCCCATCCCCTCATGTTTTATGTATTTGCGATCACAACCGATCGTGAGAGAAATTAATCAATACCAACGCTGCCACAAGATGTGGATGACACATGCCGTTGCCCACCCCTCCCCTGCTGCCTCCTGTGCCCCCCCGCCTGCCCGCCTCAACCTTGCCACACTCCCCCGTTTCTTCACCCCCTCTTCATTCTCCTCACCCCATCCATTTTGATTCGGGGGGCCTGTTGTTCGCCCACGTCTAGGTGAGGGATTTTTACATCCCCGGCGTGCTTGGAGGAACTCCATATGGCCGGGATCAAAGGTGTTGCTGGGTGCATGGTTCTGCTTGGTTGCCAGCCACCGCCGTTAATTAGAAAACAAGATCAGAGGCGGTATTAAAATCCAATTAAGCCCGTATGAACAGATTGCCAAGTGATGTTCACTAATGCATTACTGAGCACCATGCAAATTTTAGTGGCAGCATTTGGCTTTATGTTATGTGTTTGTGTCATTAGGAGTGTGCATATGTGTATTGGAGAGTGTACTTGAACGCGTGCCCGAGTGTGTCTGTGCACGCGTCACTTGCCGGCTATTCAAGGCTCTGTGACATTGCTTGATCTTTTCCCTGATACACAGCCCTAATCTCATATAAACAATCAGCTAAAGCTCTGCAGAGCAACAACACCTATCCTCCCAATAAGATTGGATGATATTGCTTCTCACAATTAAAGCATAATTGAGAATGCTGAATTATTGATCCATCATAATTGAGTTCTCCTCATTTGATTTTGTGCAAGAAACTAATATGATGCACAGAAAATCCTGCAAATTTGAATGAAGAGCTTTGCAGTATTTGAGTTTTCAAACTTGCCATTTGGTCTATACTGTCCACTTAAAAGACAAAAGTCCCAACTGGGACCATAGCTTTCCATTTAAATCGTCTTTGAAATCTGAGGTAGCTGTCGGCAGACAAAATTAAACATGTTAAGGAATTGGATGAGGCACATTTAAAATGCACGCATAAAATCATTCTGCACAATAAGTGCCAATTTAGTCCATGAGTTTTATTCACATAGCAGACAGACAGGGCATCTGTACCAAAGAGTGACAAGTGGATGCAGCTGGTGGCCTATGGCCTGAAGCATCCACATTATCACAGACGAGGGCTGTTAATGCTGGGCTGAATAGGAGCCCCTTTTGAGTTACAAAATAGCATTCTGATTAGAAAGTCAGGAAATACACATGTGAAGAGCCGGAAATTGTCACAATGCAGATCCATGGCCTATTTGGCACCATCTCAAACCGAGTATGGAGGAGTGAGATCCTAACCGAAGGGATGTGCTCAATCAACCACATTGAGATTACTGGTATACTTTAGCTTATTAAGAGGAGATGTTCATGTTGTCAAAGTTTTCTCCTCCATATGGTACTAAAAACTACAGAGGTGTACTTTCAAGCTTGCATGCAACATTTGTTGCAAAACAGGTTTTTCCCTTAAAAATCCAGCAGGTAAAAACCAGTTTTGCCCCCTTTTTTTATACATGTATATATATAGAGATATTTAAGGCAGATGTTTCTAAATATGTTTTTTTTTCTAAAAAAAAAAAAAAGACTAAAGGTACAATGGATGGATGGATGGATGGATGGATGGATGGATGGATGGATGGATGGATGGATGGATGGATGGATGGATGGATGGATGGATGGATGGATGGATGGATGGATCCGTTACATTCATTAACTCTCTCTTTTACAGATGACAATTCTATTATTCAGAAAACAACATATACAAAATATTTTGTGCAAAATGTTAGTAGCTATTTTAATGCTTGTGATAACCAATCTTTAAACCTAAACCAACAAAATTAATGAAAGTGAAGCTAGGACATAGAATAAAATCATTGCCAAAACAAATGTTGAAAAGCCTTCAAAAAGCACATCAAAAACCCCTGATAGGCACCCCCTTTGAAATGTTTAGATAAAAAAAAATGTGCTTAAATTTAATTTTGTTTTGTTTCTGTGTAGGCCATTGGTGGATCCACAATATTTTATGTGGAGAGTGGCCAAAGGAGGGGCAAAGTACGGGGTAGGGTGGCAGTGATGGACCTCTTTATTCAAGGATGTAAGAAACCCCTTATATAAAAAGAAAGTCGACAAAACAGCCAAAACAATTATTAAAAACTATGTGTAGTGCCATAGTTGGGAAGTGACGGCTTAGTGGTTATGGCATAGAGCTTTGGATCCTAAGGTTCTGAGTTTAAGCTGCCACTCTGGGTCTCTGAGCAAGATCCTTAACCCCACACGGCTCCCCTGGCACCCCACGATGGCAGCCCACTGCTGGTTAATATCTCCAGTTTGAGATCAATAAAGTTCAAATATTATTAATGAATTAAATGCCTCTTTTGGATCAATAAAGTATTTTAAATCTAAGTGAATTTTCTCTTCCAAGAATTTTTTTTTAGTATTTTAAATAGCCAAACTCAGTTAAACAAATATTGCACAAGATAAATAAAGACATAAAAAAATCTAAAACTATAACTTTGGCACACATTTTTTAAATAAAGTTTATATCTACAGTTATATATTTTTGTTAAATTAACATCAAATCTGCAGGGTGTAAAAGGCTTTTGGAGAAAAAAAGCGATGGGAAATTTCAAGCATCTCAAGGACATAAAAGTAGGGGGCAGCTGTGTAGAACCGCCCCTGGTGTAGGTGAGTGAAAGGAGAGAAGTAACTGTGATTATAAATATGCTTTAGGAAACAAATCAGCATGTGATTTTACACGTTAAAACACAAACTTTGAATTTTTCCACCATTTAAAGACACTAATTTAAAACATTATTTATTTTACCTGAAGGAAGCTCCTGGACCAAATCTGGGTTTTCATTTCAGTCTGAGCTTCAACCTTCATCAGGATTAATGACTAGCAGCTGCAAACTTTTCACTTGTGATGCTGTGATTGGTCGGTGAAAGTGCCTTGCAACTATAATCAGCCATTTGCAAGGAAATGCAACTCAAGCAGTAAGGCAGCTCATCAAATATGATGGCTGGCTTGGCCTTTACAGGGTAAGAACAGCTTTGTAGCTTTGATAATTTACTTCCTGATCTTAAATGGTTGTAGTTTTATTCTGCTGCTTTTCAATAGGCTGTGGCTCCTTGTCGTTCTTACTGGTGCAATTAAAGCTTACCCCACCAATAAAGGTAAACACACTTTTTGACCTACTTAGGCACATGTTAATATATTTTATCAGCAAAAATGTACTCTCTTTTCACTGTGCAGCCTCGGATCATTCAGGGGTCTCCAATACAAACCCTTCCTTTGGTTTCAGTTGGGAGGAACCTGCGCATGGATTTGTGCATAAGGAGTCTGCTTTCCAGCCTGCATCAAACCCAGTTTTACAGCTTCATCCAGATAAACAACCTGTATTTTATCCTGGTGATCATATAAGACCAGTTCCTGCTCCTTATGGTTCCAATGTATTTTCTCCACCTGTACATCAAGGAAATGATGGTGGCTTTCCTGTAGGTTCAACACAGTCTAGAGCTCAATCTGCACCAGACCAAGGTAGGTGATTCCCTAGATGTTTTTTTTTCTGCTGTTAGTAAATGTAGACTAAATTTGAATTCTTCTTGCTTGCAGTTAAGTGGGCAGTTGATCCTCACACACATTTCTCTGGAACTACCCTTCCTAATGATGACAGAAAGTTTTCTGAGAGTCCTAGCTTTATGACGCCTCCATTCAGGCCAGGTGAAACTTCATATGAGGAGAGGACGTATGAAGAAGGGGACTTTCACTCTGAATCTGAAGACGAAGGCCTTCCCTCCCAGTACTTACCAGTCATGGCTCCAAACGAGCCTGCCAGTGGTAGCCCACTAGGAGGACTTTTGAATCGACTTCGGCTTGGCTACCCTCTATATGAGTACATGTTGCTGAATAGGAGGTTCCCACCAGGCACGTACACACTTACCTCTGACCACCTCGAGCATCGGAAGAACCAGAGACATGACAGTCGCTATATTGGTGATCCTTACAGGCCTGATCAAAAGTACCGGGAAACTTTCTCTTACCCAAATCTTCAAAGGCATCCTATTCGCTCTGCACAACAAAGAAATTATGGCTATGGTTCTCAAAATTTTTTTGGATAAGTCTCATGGTGCTGCAAGTTTTACTTGAGATCCTTTAGAAGGTTGCATCTATATTACTCTGCTAAAAGGTAACTTTTGGTTGGCAACCTGAATTAATTTATTTTCCTCAGCTGCTCATGATCCCTTTTTTGTTTGGCTCAGCTTACTGCTTCAGGCTTTGTCATTGTGTCAAAAATCTAATGTTACCTTTCACAAATCTCCTGTGTGATGTGCTAAAGTTTACTTTAGTAGTGTTGGAATGAGGTCCTAACTTAATATCGGCAAAAATTGCAGCACCAAAGGGACTTTTTTGTTTGTTCCCAAAATGGGGGGAAAAAAGGGGGGAATCCACATCATTAAAGAAGACTGAAAAAAAAAAAAAATCCAGTATTGAATTCTTTGCTTTTTTTGCCAATCCTACAGCTTACAAAAGACTTTAATACTTTATGTAACATGGACTTTCCTGTATTGTAATCAAATATGGCACCAATCTGGTATTACTTAACCAAAAAAAATAAGCTAACGGTTGAAAAGATTTCTAACTGAAACCCTAAGTCTATAAAGAGCAAACTAAAACAAAGCTCTGGCCTGAATAATTTGAATTTGTATAAATGGTATGTATAGAGAGGTCAATGTGTTGGGTGGGTGTTTTTTATTTTTTTCACTTAAATTTTCAACCATTGCCCTAAAAATATTTTTACTATAAGTTGGGCCTAAACGGGAAGTTTTGTTGCAAATTGTCCTCAATATGAAGTTGGACAAATGGTCTCCAGTCTGATATCAAAACAGGAGCACAAGATGTGCTTTGAGTTACTTTATCCTTGTCTGAATGTATATTGAGATTACTTCCAAATGTTGACATGGCAAACTACTTTTGTCTTTGCCTTTTCAATTGTAGAAATGCAGCTCTTTAGAAATTGAAGATTAAATGTGCAATTGTTTAAATTTAAACCAGCTTTCATTCAATTGAAGGGTACTGTCCAAATGTAAACATTTAATTTTTTGATACTGAAATATCAGTTGGCTTTGAGTCTAATGTGGAACCAAATCTTATGTCCATATTTTCTACAATATCTATGGATTCATGCCAGTTTGTCTATTTATCCATACATCATCCCATGTTGTATAGCTCTAACTTCTCTCTTAGGCTATACAAATTAGTTATTGATTTAGATTTGACAAAATAGTTGGTCACACTCTGGTTTCTTCAATCCCCTGGATAGTGGTATAGTTTGAATGCTTTGGTTCCTTTAACATCAATATATATTTGTGATATTCCAATTTGAATTACTTTGATCCTAATTTTCTTAAAGATGCCCAGTAATCTTAAGCTAACTCTTGCCTGAGTTTCAGAGGCATCTCTACCTGCACTTGAAGATTTTAAATGACCTAATGCATCCTTTAAAAAATTGGTCATAAAACTTGACCCAAACTGCTCTGGTTAATCATGTTTTTATTGCCTTCAGTGATTTTTCTATGTGCTGCCAATTCCTTGCCAGTCGATGGTACCTTTCCCACTGGACTGGGACTGGAGGAAATCAAGCGTTGGATTTTTCTGGTTTTGCTCGCTAAAAGCTGCAGTGTCTAGACCCAAAACTGGCACTACAGTAGCACCACCTTTTGATGAAGGATGAAACGAGATCTTGCCTGTAGTCAAGTACTGTAACTTTTGGGCAGTTTGCACCTGATCTGGAGATTTTTCTGAGGACACAATCTTCCAAAGAGGATGCTCACTGTTGTCAGTGTTCTTCAGTTTTTGAAGAATTCTTCTTTCTGAAATTCTCTCCATATGTTCTAGAGTAGTTCCTAGAACAGTACCAGCCTTCTTTATCTGCTTTTTGAGCTATTTTAAGTAATTTGCTTTGATGCTTTTACCCCACCAAACTTATGGAAGCTATATATATCTTAATAATTGAACTTCCTTGATCTCACACTGTAGAATTTTACCTCTCCATTTAAACCATCCCCTTGGGGAAGAGTGGGCTGCCATGGTGTGGCACCCAGGGAGCAGTGTGGGGTTAAGGGTCATTGTAAGGGACCCAGAGTGCAGGCTATGTGGATGGAACCAGGTACTTGCAACCTTCTCACAAGCGCACTGCTCTAATCACTAGGCCAAAACTGCCCCATCTTGCTGCAAACACCAAAGGAACAAGGCTTTGTCCCTTTTTGTAGATGGCGTAACAGCAGCATCTCTACACAGTAAATTTTGCAGTGTTAAATTAACACTTTAAGAGTGCATTTGGTCCCACTCGGAATTAGTGTTAAATTAGAACTCTACGTAGTGTATATTTTACTCTAGTTGTTGTAATACCTCTAAAAGAATCAATACTTTTACACTGCATATTTAACACTGTGGAATTTACTGTGTAGTTATTGACCAGGTGAACACCAAGGTATTTATACTCCTCCACTTCTTGTTGATAGGATTCAGTTTTTTTCCTGCTTCTTCTGAAAACTAACATATTCCCACTTGTTTTGTTCACATTCAGGATCAAATGATTCCTCACAATTGCAAAAAAAATATGAGTATTTTTAGAAACTTTAAACCTTTGTAAAATTCACAACTTTAGTTTTATCATTGAAAATTTCAACCTTATTTGACCAAGCTTGTCCTTAGGGAATTTGGAGTTTTGGTTCTTTTTTTCCCCCCTGTGAACTAAATTCTTTTCAGACTTTCTATAGTCAGTAAAAATGGGACTTAATGTGCCTTTAAAAATTTGGAACTATGATTGATAGATGTTGAAGAAAATGAAAAGTCCCTCATTATACTCCTGTGCTGGTATCTTGTATTTGTTAGATAATTATTTCCATATCTTTAGCATGCTTTCTCTTTGTGATATACACTCCTCATTCTTTAATGTTTATTCCTCTCTTCCTTGGTTTTATATTAAAATTGTTTCTCAACATCTAATTCTGTGATTTTCTGAAATCAAAACACACTACACCTATACAGTTTAGATCTATATCTAGTATCTGAACAAAGATTGTTGAGTTTAAGTAGCTAGCATTACATTATTGGCAGGCAAAATTTTGGATGGTAGTTCAAATATTATAGCCTAAAAAGAAAGCCATTGCACATTAACGTTGTTATGAATACGATTTAATAGTTTGTGTAGCTCTTGATTTTCAAAGGATAAAATGTATTATTTCTGCTATACTATAATACAACTGTTTTTTAAGGAAGCTGGGCTTGAACTGCCATTTCAGCCTTCCCAGGATTTACCATTAAGCCTTAGACAGAATAAATGGATGAAAAAATGAAAAGGCATTCCTACATGATCATGTTTAATGCCTGGCAGGTGTGTATCGTTAACTCGTTGTGCTCTGATTGTACAGTGCAACTTACTTGCAATGGTTATGAGCTTTCAGAGTAATGCTTAATAGAAATAGTACAGAGTCTCTTCACTGGCCTGAGGGTAAGGAGTGGGTTACCGTACTGGTTAGGTTCTTCTGAGTGGCTGTAGTTTTAATCAGTTTTTCAATAGGGTGCGGCTCCTTATCATGCTTACTGGTGTGAATTACATCCATCCCACAAAGAAAGGTAAAAATCCCCTTCCTCTAGCTCTGACCACTGCCAGTCTGGTCTAACAGTTTGCCTAACATCATGGTTTATATCTTTGTGTTTTTAAAAGTATTAGCTTTGTTTCCAGTCCTACAAAAAGAGTACTTGTTGGTGGGTTTTTAGGTCCTTCTTTCGTGTTTCAGCTAATGCAGTGCCATATTCCAGTCAAGGCCAATATAAATAGTGCTCTGCTTTTATCCTGGTATTTGTGTAATCTATTACTAAAGTAATCTATTACCTGTCACTAGAGTCAGAATGTTATTCTGTAATATGTTTGTCTTTCTAGAATCTTTCAGACAATTTAATGACCAAACCTTGCATTGGTACTTTAAAAGGATCTCCGTCTCCAGATCACCTGTCGTTGGCTAGCTTGTTGAATTATAATATAAAATCCACAATCAAAAAGAAAAGGCCCTTAACTCAGATACTTAAAGATCTAAGCAGATTCCATGTCAATGAGTTTTGGTTAGCTATCTTTTATTTTAACTTACTGCTGCCTCCAGCAGCAGGGGACTTATTAAGCAGGAAAAAAAGTGGGAAGCTGTCCTACTAAAAGTTGGCTGTTATAAGAAATATTAAAATGTGCAGCACACAGAAATATAAGTATAAAGTAGGTAACATGTGCTACCTCACACTTGCCTTCATATATCCCAACTTGTGTGAAATTACACGTATGCAAATTATTGTAAATAACATGTCCAAAAAACCATGGCAATGGTGCTGTCAGCCACCTAGAGTGTTCTACACATTTATATATCATGGTTTTTATATAAAACATTGGGTAGCAGATTTTTTTTTTGTCTTGTAGATGAGGCCCAACAGTCAGATGTTGCAGTCCTTCCCCATTTCTGAGAGCATAGTCCAACACTTTCCTGAGCATTGCCTATAAATGGTTGTTTTTTTGTGTTCTGGTTAGCTGGAGTGAATCTTAATTATTCGTACATTTTCTTTAAGTTTTTTTTATTTGTTATTTTAGGTTGAATAAGGGCTCAGATTTCTGCACATTATCTTGAGTAAATGCTCTTATTTTGCATATGTTTCGGTAAAATTTCCACTAATTCAACATGTAAGACATCAAATCAAGTTGCAATGTTTTCAGATTGAAAGCTCTTCCTTTTTCTACAGGTACATTATTCTGTCACAGCAAGAAAGATATTTTCACTGCAACCTGATTAAAAGATACTTTCTGTAGTGCCAACTTCCTGCTTTTCTCTGATGTAAAGGTACCTGAGGGGACTGAACTGTCACTAAATAATTTAGGCTCAGTATGTTACACAACCTTGTGTCCCTCCCCTTTAAGAATGTATCTGTTTTAGAACACCTTTCTTATGTAGTCAGGAGTAAAAGCAAACTGGTATTAAAAGCAAACTAACAAGTGATTTGGTTGATTTTTGTTTTAGAGGGAAAAAAATATTTTTAAATTTTAATATTTGACTGTCATTTACCAACTATCTGTAACTATACTGTTCAGACTTGACAATTGTTATAAATGACATGGTTTCCCAATAGTAAAATGCATCTAACTTGGAATGAGATAAAAACCAATCAGATTCTGTTGTCTGCAACAAAGTGAAGGAGTCTACATTTTATTATAGATTGACTGCCTTAATTGCAGACAAGAGTATAAAGTGATAGTTGTCTTTTTCTTTCCAAGTTGAATTATTTTAAGATTTTAAATGATGCACGTTAAATGCCAAAACTGCTTGATGTTTAGT